GACCTTAAGTGGGGGTAATAATTCAGAATGCATAAAATTCCACTGGTAAAAGTTTTACCAGCAGGTGGAGCCATTGCGCGCAGCTTCAAGCAGACGCCAAAAGTTCCAAAGCCCACAGCTCTGAAACTGTTATAGCAAGAGGTCTGATATTTTCTGCATTTGTGGTTGACATGATGTAGAACAAATATAATACAATGAAAACTGCCTTTTCTCAAGAATGTCTTTATAACTGCTGTTCAAAAAATACCTATCATTTCCAAGAATAAAAAAAAAAAAACAACTTTGAGTCATGTTTGAACTGATGCAGCTTGGTCTGTGTTCTAGTCACCCAATTTAATTTATATATTAGGAAACTAGATGGTTTTAGCTTTCAAATAATATATTGCACATGTAATTTGGGCTTACAGTTCCTAAGTTATTTGCATTTCCATTTGTGTATGCAAAATAGGCGAGGATTACCCAAAATGAGGTGGATGTTAAGAGGTTAAGTGAAGAAAGACTGGTGCCTCCACTGGCTGATATTTTGATCCAATGTGAATGTTTTTTTTTTTTTTTTTGGATTGATAAGGCCGATATGAGTGTGCGTTCACTATTTCGATTAGCTGCAGGGATTGCTGCTCCCTCCATCTTCTATCTTTTAGAGTAAAAATACTGATTTCATTGGCAAATCGTCTTATTTACCTACTCAAATTAAAGGTACATAAACTTAATTTAAGAATTTTTTATTGATTTCTAGATGGTTTTGCAGTGAAGGAACCTTTTGCTATCCGATTATTAATCGCTTAATTGAAAAAATACTTGACAGATTAATACATTTGTTTAATAATTGTTAGTTAATTCTAGTCTAAGTGTATTGATCCTTGGTTTAAGAAGGTGAGTCAGATGGAATAAGATAATTTACATTTAAAATAAGAAAAAAAACAAATCCATAATTTTATTTTTTATGAACAATATGTTATTATCTTATTTAAAGAGCAAAAAAAACATGGATCGCCTTATTCATCTGCTCAAACCAAGAACAGATGCACTGATTTGTTTACTTATTTTGGATCAACTTCTCCGTTTCTTTTAAGAGACTTTCTAATCCAGTATGTATTTCCAGGTCCAGGATGAGGCGTGAGGTGCTAATGGGGGGGCTACCGGATAACGACACAGATGCTGACCCCAACAGCTACTCCCCCTCAGTAACCCGGAGCCCCGCCTCTGACGGCGAGGACAGGAAGCTGCCGCCACCCTCAGGACAAACCCACTCCGGCCTTCCTCTCATCACTAACGTTGCACTGCCTCACGTCAAACAGGAGGAAACCTACAGGGAAGAGGAGAGCCTGGATGGAAGGGGAGGCTCGCTGAAGGAAGTAGGAGTGCAGTGCTTCTCCGCAGCAGGCACATTGTCTCCGTTAAAAAGCGAGCACGATGACTCCATCTCTGGCTGTCGGGAGCCCCCTCTGCCTGGCCAGATCCTGGTGAAGGAAGAGGGAGCGAGCAGCCAGAATCAGGGACTCCACCTCGGCGCGGCCTCCGCAGACGGGCCTCAGCGGGCCAACAAGTCCAGGTACGAGGGAGAAGAGCCTGGAAAGTCCCCCGTGGATCCGGTCAGCTTCAAGGCTTCCTCTGAGCCCTGTCGCAGCAGCCTGGAGGTCTCCCTGAACTCGCCGTCTGCCGCGTCGTCGCCCGGCCTCATGATGTCCGTCTCTCCCGTTCCTTCCTCCTCCGCGCCCATATCGCCCTCGCCGCCCAGTCAGGCAACAAGCACCAACCAGAGCACGGATTCTAACCCGCCCCCTCCGTTCCAAAGCCCCAAACTCAACAGAAGCACTCAGAGACGCAACGAGAAAATGGCCAACCTCAATAACATCATCCACAGGCTGGAGAGGGCCGCCAACCGAGAAGAGACCCTGGAGTGGGAGTTTTAAGGGCTCGACCAGAAGACCCGAGCGGAGCCTGGCTCCTCGAGGCGTTTCCTGCAGAGGGAAAAACATCAAACTGAATTTCCTACAATAATTTAAGAGTTAAAAAAAAAAAAGTTTATAGAAATGTATTTGTTTTTGTTTTGTTTTGATAATGCATACGACTTTGAAATATACGTGACAGCGCTAGCTGTTGTTTTACCTTATCGACATTAAGACTTTTGCAGCTATGGTGTCATTTAATGTGCACTGAAGTTCTGAAGATTGCCACTGGGTGAGATTAAAAAAAAAAAGAGACCTCTGTCTTAAGCCATTAAAAGCACTATAACTATTTGAAAAAAGACACTGACCAAATTTGCTACTTTTTGAATAGCAGTTTTTCCAATTTTGTCTGTCAGACGGGACAGTTCAAGTCGAGTAATGAGAATACCAATTACTGGCTGAGGGATAGTCCTTTAAGACTCTAAATATTCCACATCTTGTATGTACTTAGTTTCCTGGTGATATGTTTTGAAATCTTTGTAACTCACACGTATGAAATGTGGTTGTACATGTTGTAGATTTGTCTGCAATAGCCTTCTCTGAATCTGATGTAGCATGGTACTCACCTGACCCCGTTCTCCTCTGTAGTTAGTCACCTGTGATTATACTTGAGCAAAAACAGACAAAAAAAAAAGAGGTTAAACAACAAATAGTTGAAAAGCCTGCAAAAAATGAAAAAAAATCTCATGTTAACAAAGGAATATTTTAGGTGTTTTATTTCCCTCTTTTTTTATATAATAATAATAATAATAATAATGATGCTACTTGAGGTTTACAGCTTAGGACCTTTTTGAGAAAGTGAAACCTTCGATTCACACGAAGCCCAGTTTACACAGTTTCTTTCAGAGTTACCTCTTGGATCCTCCAAAGGAGCGGTTCTCAGACTGATACACGCCACACTGGGTTCACCTCCGATTAGGTTCACACGCATCGTGCCACGATCACGCATTTCATACACAGAAACACGGACCACAAGTCGAGGCTGTAAAGGAGGAGTGCTCTGCATCTGCCTCGAGCCCCTTCGTCCCTCCGCCCACCTGTACCTGTGCTTTTTACCTCAATTCAACTCAGTTTATTTCTATAGCGCCAATTCACAACACATGTTGTCTCAAGGCACTTTACTGTTCCCCAGATCATCCAGTCAGATTGATTCAAAGCTTTTTATCTAAGGAAAACCAGTTGACTGCATCGACTTGAAGGCAATCCCTCACATTAAGCATGCTTGTAGCGACAGTGGAGAGGAAAAACTCCCTTTGAACAGGAAGAAACCTCCAGCAGAACCAGGCTCAGAGTGAGCGGCCATCTGCTGAGGCCCACTGGGGTTCAAGGAGACAGAAGCAGACATAGAAAAAGAAGCATAGATGCTCTGATCTATGTTAGATCAGAGCTTCTATGTTTCTTTTTATATGTCTGCTTCTGTCTCCTTGAACCCCAGTGGGCCTCAGCAGATGGCCGCTCACTCTGAGCCTGGTTCTGCTGGAGGTTTCTTCCTGTTCAAAGGGAGTTTTTCCTCTCCACTGTCGCTACAAGCATGCTTAGTGTGAGGGATTGCCTTCAAGTCAATGCAATCAACTGTTTTCTTTATACCGCTGTCCGCTAATCCATGA